CGCGTTGTTCGAGTTGTGAGATGTAATGTTAGGTTAGATACACATGCTCTTAGGTTATTAATATATTGAAAAAAACTTGTTTAACCGATCCAAACCGTGTGTTAGTAGGATTATTTTGACCAGGAGTAAGCCTAAAAGGTCTAAGTTTTGTCGATTCGAATTCGAATGGAAGTGCTTGTATTGTACTCACTGAAATCAGCTAAAAATTACACAATTTCAATACGGTCTTGACGTCAAAACCATATTTCAAGAAAATATAAATTGATGTTTTTTTTTCTTTAGACAACACAAACAAAGACATAAGGGAAAAATACAACAACTAATAAACATAAATACATCTATACCCCATTCGTACAATACATTATTTATTCAACTTGTAAAATACGAATTCAGCGGCAGGTGTTGAACACAAAAACAATAATTATTATGCCCATGTTTGCATATTATTTTACAGTGTTGTGATGCTGATAAAATATTTTATAAACAACATATTTTAACTGTTTTATGTATAACTAATATTTAATGTTCAAAAACAACGTAGAATGAATGGTACTTCATTTGAAAATTTTTTCAGTTTAAGCTAAATGCCATGCAATATAATAGAGTCAACAAGAAAAACTTGTTTTCGAAAACAATTTTACAATAACATAAGTACTTCATTATTACCAGATTACTTTACTTTTGTAACCTCAAAAATACATAATAAGTAGCATATAATGTATTGAATATTACAAAAAAAAAAAAAAGTTAATAAATAAAATGAACTGCAGAAAACTTCAGAACATTATTTTGCTTATAAGTGTGTGTGTAGTGAAAAAGCTTTTGAACTTATTTATAACCCATTATTTTTTTGTAACGTTATTTATTAATACATTGGAGTACCTAGTCAAATCGTGTTTGTAGGCTTATTTTGACATGGGGTAGGTTTAAAGGCTGAATTTCATCACCAGTATAAATTAGAGGGGTCAAGAAAAGGTTTAGATATTTTTAGATAAAGAAAACAAGGACTAATATATAAATAAACATTTATTTCTTATACTTACGATACATTAATTATTAAACGTATAATTATTATTTAGGTGCAAGTATTGGACATAATGACAGTAATTATTATATCCGTGTTTGCTTATTATACTACAATGTTAATAATGCAAATAATATTTCTAAAACAACATTTAACTATTTTATGTGTAAAGTTTTTAAACGACATTTCTACAACATGCAAATATATTTTTACATGATTACTGTTACTATATTATTGACTATGATTACTTTCAGTGTCAATTTGTATAAATTTCATCTTTAGAAACCGATTGAAATCTCTGTATTCCGAGTTTTTCATAGTCGTTTTGGATGACCGTTTCGTAAAACAAAACAATTCTGTTGTTGATGTAATTATATAAATTATTACCATATTGCGTCTTCTTCTCTAAATTGTCGAACTCATCCGATAGCAATGGGAAAGTCATAGGCGGAACTTCTATTACACATGTCCAGTTTACGTTTTCATGGGTAACGAATTTTAACTGTTCGATAATTGTTTTGCAATTTGCATATACATCTTCGAATTCCTTTACATTAATAGCGTCATCGTCGCATAAAAATCTCCGAGGATTTATAACAATTAGATTTTCCAAGTGACTTTTAAATCGGTTTATTTGCATAATCGTTCTTTCAGCGAAAGACAATTTGACGGACGTTGGAAGATTTAGCATCAAGGCCATACCGTGTGACATGTGGTCTAACATCACTTTAATGCGTGACAACCAATTAATCGAATTGTAAAACATCAAAACGCAAAATGCAAAATTTAATTTTCCAGGTTCGTCTTTATATTGTTGGCAACTATCCAGGAACCCACTCAGAATCGACCACAAAGATTGTAACCGTTGGACGTATCTGCATCCTAATAACCGGCAAAATTGATCCGTTTTCGTGTTAAGGTTTACATAGCCGACGTTCTCCTCTAATATCTGGTCAACAGTGAATGTCTCGCCTGGTCTGAATTTGATCATTATTCCTTGCATATCTTTCCAACTATCGTACGTACGGATTTCGTTTAAGAGTTCAATACTTTTATTTATTCGTTCCACAGATGGCGTGTAAGTGTTGGAAGTTTTCAGAAAAATTACCAAAAACGAATAAAGTAATGTAATGAACATTTTACTGGCCATTTTCGATACTGTTTTACCGACACTAACTGAAAACAAGTTTTTTTTTTTAATGGCAAAGCTATCTTTTTTTGTACCCAATAAATGTGTTCGTCGTATACAAAAAAAAAAAATACATGTACTTTATTTAGTTTTAACCGTACGTCATAAAATAAAAAAGTCAATAAAAAAAGCTGGTTGAAAAAAAATATTGTACAATAACATAAAGACTACTCGTAAACTGTTCACAAGGCGATTGTGTTTTCAAATCATAAAAATACACATTGATCATTTTATCGTGAACCACTCAAGTATCTCATAGAGTTTAGTATGAAATTAACATAATTTTTTTTATATTGATTTTATACAATTTTTGAAACTTTGAAACTTTAAATGGTAACGCTTACATTTCGTTAACTTTACAATATGAAAATGCTTTCTCGTTGAACCACATATACGTACGATTTACAAAACATAAGTACAATGTATTTAGTTTGAACCATACACGGCACACGATAAAAAATAGTCAATAAAAACATTTTCTGGCAAAACAATATTACAATAACATGATGCCTATATTACTAGACTACCAATTTGCTAGGCATAATATACAGGGTGTCTATTATTTCAAATAAAAAAAATATATAGTTAACAAAACGGTCCTTAGAAAACCTAAAAAGTTCATTTTAGATTTGGCGTACCTAATTATGTTTTTTTTGTTAAATATTAGCAACTATGTAGTCCCTACTTGTGGTCACGCTATCTCAACAAATATACTATTACTTCTTATCGCATATTGTACATTTTCGGAATAGCTAGTGGCTATCCTCATTTTAATCTCAATCACCCGAGCAATCATTTTGGGATTTTCTTTCGCGTTCGCCGTACACCAGAAACTAGCATTAGCACTAATAAAATGCGTGTAAAATAAATACAAAGCTTAGGCTAGACGTTTAATCGTCATTTGTTGTCAACTTTAGTACAGCCAATTGTATCCAATTAGCCTTATTTGGTTATGAATGAGAGCCGTCTTGGTCCCCTATCCCGTGATAAACGCCAAGAGGACCGATTATACAGGTCATTGGGTTAATACATAAAAATATACACCTCCTCAAAGGTATATGTATGTATTATATATAACCTTTGAGTATATATAACAACCCTTGATGTACAGTTTTTAGACTTATTTCTTGAACATTCAATACATCCCTTATTATTTGAAACGTTGTAGTTCAAATAAAAATATTGAAACACACGTGTTATAATTATGTCACTCATTGTTTAATTGAATGAAACAAAATATGTAAGCAAGTAAGAATATTAACCACTATGATGAAACAAACTATACAAAACAAATTTAACTTTAAAAGTTTTAACATACATCTTATCTAAAATAGTAGGTATAAACAATGGAAATGTATGTAAACAAATTGTTTTGAGTAATTTACTAATCAATCGTAGCACATTTTATTTAAAATGTCGATTACTTTTAAAACAACCGAAAATTAACTACAATTTTAAATAATGTTAAACATCTTACAAATGTTAATCATCACTAAAAAGAAAAGCGTGGGCCCTATTCAACATAGTCCAAATTCATTGAGTTAAGTATTATGAAATGTATGTGTCATACACTAACATTAACCAAATTTAAATTACAAAAAAACTTGATCTTATTTTATCTTAAATTAAAATTGCATTACAAGGACACAATCTGAATGTGTTAAAGCTTTTGTTGCTAAATTATTTATTGTGCTATAAAATATCTTAGTTATAGTTCGCCGAGTAGTATTAAATAGACTACTAATGGCAGAAAAAGTCATACCTAACTTGATTTTTATCAAGAACATAAACAGTCGATTTTCTTTATCAAAAGAATAATAAGATGGTTCAGATAAAAAATTTAGTAAAAAATAAAAAACTTGAAATGTAGTTCCAGTTAGATCCTTTAATTGCTGCTCAAACGATATTAAATTTTGTTTAATAGAAAAAAGATAGCTAGACTCTTAGCTTTTTTTTTAATTTTCAAAAAAAATGTTTGGGGTCAGAGTTAAAAATTAAAAACAAATATTTTGTTTATATAAAATTTAAGTTATTTTCTTATGACCCATATAATCTTTAAGCCAATTAAGTTTTTTTTTGCTATTTATTTACGGTTTCAGACATAAGTGGTAAGCTGAAAACGGCCTACTTTAATGACCCACAACACAAATGCGACTGAACGAAAATTTTCCAAATTCATGCAATACTTACTTATACGTGAGTAGAACATCTGGTAAAAGTTTGGCGATGGAGAAATTATTAACTGTAAGGCTTGGGTGATGAACAATTGGAACAAAATCATCTTGGAAGTTCGAGATGCGGTGTTGGAGAAGTATGATGCAAACAAACGACAGCAGTGAAGTAAACGAAACCAGGAAGATAACCAAGTTTGAAGATGGAATATGATGAGACACGTTCTGAGACACGCAGATGAGAGTCTACATGACATAATATAAGTGGCAAAAGAGACCGAGGACGACCAAGAACATCATACATTAAAAAAACCTATTTCAAATGCGAGGCTGACAAGCGCTACAGAGAGTTTCAGAGGCTAGCTGGTGGAATCGTGGGAAAATGCGAAACCAGCATTAGGGTCGAATACCGAGAGAGATAAACTTATAAACGAGTTAAGTCCGCGAAAAGGCGCGATTTTATTTATTTTCAAAGCCGTCACAAGAAGGCTAGTAGTAAACAATGTAGAAAACAAAACAAAAATACAAAAACAAAGCATAAAAATATAAGAATTAATAGGTGACAATTTCAGATTAAGCCTGATCCACATGTTTGTAGACTTCCGCGTTAAGTTGTTCATCCAATCGGTCTAGGAGTATGAGCGAAAATCATGGACTCGGGCACGCCCATTATCTGGGGCGTCCTCCGCACCGGTTTGGGCCGGTTACGACGGAGCGCGTCGGACTGCGCGCGCCGGTCGGCCGGTTCTGCCTTAGCGGTCAGCCTGACGTTGGCCGGACTCATGTTGTTCAGTGGGCCCTCGACCAGCGCACCGTTGTCGCTATAGTAACACAACAGGCTGTGCCACATCGGGTGCTTGCACAGGATGTGCGGGTTGCCCACCAACACCAGCCCGTACTTGGCCCGGGTCAGCGCCACGTTCATGCGCCGCGGGTCATTGAGAAAGCCCACGCCCTGGTTCTCGTTGGACCTGACGCACGACACGATGATCAGGTCTTTCTCGCGACCCTGGAACGAGTCGACGCTGGCGATCTCCACGCGGACGTACTTGGACGCGGCCAGCGGGTGCTTGTGGTTTGACGACATCATCGTTTGCGCCAAGTACGTGCGCTGGCCTTCGTACGGCGTGATGATTCCGATCTGCTCGGGCTCCAGTCCGCCGGCCAGGAACGCCGCCGCTATGCGCTCCACGTAGTCCGCCTCCCAGCGGTTCAGGTACGACGTGCCGGACGGCGACAGCTCTTCGGCGCCCGTCGATGCGTAGAACATGAGCGGCTTGTCGGGATTCGGCCACGGGAACCTGATGTTGGAGGGCAGCGACCGCTCGTCGGCGCGCACGCCGTTCTGCAGCGAACCGTCGTAGAAGTAGCTGGACGGGAACTTGGACAGTTCCGGGTGCATGCGGTACTGGATCTCCAGTCGGGCGGGACGCACGCCCAACCGGATGAGCCGCTCGAACAGCGACTGGTTCAGGCCGGCTTTGCACGCCTTCTTGCTGACGATCACCGGACCAAGCTGACACTGGTCGCCGATGAGCACCAGCTGCCGGGCGCCTCGCACCACGGGTATCATGCACTCGGGTTCGGTGGCTTGCACGCTCTCGTCGACCACTACCGACCGGAACGAAAAGCCCTCCAACCGCGAGTCGCCGGCGGCCGAGCACGTGGTACACACCACTTGCGACTTCTTCATGCAAATGATCTCGGCCGCCATCTTGAGCTCCCGGTACGTCTTTTCTTCGTATTTGCTCAATCCGATTCCGGTCGTCGACTCGCCGTTCTTGATCTTTTGCAAGTCCTTCAGCAAGTCGTTTCCTTCCATCTCGATAATCTTGTTGTGCACGCACAGTAGGGACACGTCACTGTCGAAAGCTTCCAGCGACGGAGTTATCATCCTGACCACCCGCACGCCCGTTTTGGCGATCACCGCGGTCAGATGGTCGGCCGCCGTGTTGGACGGCGCGCACACCAACACCGAGCCCAGCTTGGCCAGGTGGTACACGATGGTGGCGCACGTGACGGTCTTGCCCGTGCCCGGCGGCCCGTGTACCAGCGAAACGCACTGGCCGAGTGCGTGCCGGATGGCGTTCGTTTGCGGACCATTCAGTTCGGGCAGACCCGGTGCTCTCAAGTTACCGGCGACCGGCGGCGGTGATGGCTTTCTGTGTCGTGCACGTCCCAATAACGCAGACCGTATTTCGGGCGACACGCTGTTGGGACGGTAGGCGAACTTCTTTAACGCGTACAACATGCGGTCGAACGGCACCCTTTTCCAGACCGGCCGGACCATCAGCTCGGTGCCGACCGGCCAATTGACGGGGGCCTTGGTTTCCATGGTGATCATCCGCTCGTAGCTGTCGGATAGTTGGATGATGGTGCCGCGTCGGTCGCCGGCCGAATGCTGCAACCAAAGTTCTTCGCCGATGCACATCCGCAGCTGGATGTCGTTGGGTACCGACCGCAGACGGATAACGGTTTTGCCGTTGGTCGCCGACGTCATTTCGGACTCCAACACGCACTTGAGGTGCTGCCCTTCCTTGAGGAGTTTGTCGCAGTCCGCCTCCAGCTGGACCAGCGGCTCGAACACCCCCAAATACTCGCAACCGTCGGCGTACGCGGCTTTCACTTTGGCTATTTGACGCATCTCGGCGATGGCCGCGGCGGCGGTGGCGGCTCCCAAGTCCATGGCGGCCTCGTTCTCCCTATTCCACGCCTCCTCCATGCTGACCACATCGGCCATGGCCACCGGCCGTGCCGCCCTCATTTGTTCGGGCGTCGGCGAGACGGCGATCCACTGCACCAGCTTATGGTCCTCGATGACTGGCCGCCATTTGTACCGGTCCTTTTTGTCCGTGCACGCGCCCCGGCACTTGAGCACTACCGCGGCCGCGCCCTTGACCGTGACGAACCCCAGCCGGAACACGTTCTTCGACTTGCACTCGTAACACTCCAACGGTAAACGGCCCAGCGGCCCGGCCAGGTGGGTCATCACTTGCTTGTGCTTGGACCGGACCAGGTGGTGGACGATGTGCGACCCGGCCGTCCGGTTGCGGCCGTTGCAAAACCATTTGCCGCACACCAAGCACATGACTGCCGCACCGACGACGCGCAACCCGCAATACATGCATTCGCGCGACGCCGACGCCGAGGGCGGCCACGCGTCTTCGGAGCATTCGGTGTCTTCCGTTTCGTCGACGTCGTCGTCGTCATCGTCGTCGTCGTTGTTGGCGAAAGTCGAGTTGAACAACGTGAAGTCGTCGAAAAAGTACAACGAACCGCGCGGGTTCCTCGCAAACACCGTCGTAACGTCCATTTCGGGATCACTCATTATTTTTCTCTGTAGGTCATACGTGTACCGTACATTTATTCATCGGCTTGGCGAATGGACGCGCCTCGACGGACACTATTGCTTGAGTCTCGGAGAAAACGCCGAGAAACTAATCAGTAAATTTCTCTAAAAACGAAAAATACAAGATTTTTGACAAATCTATCTATTTGTGTATATTTTGAAAAAACATCAGCTGGCGAATATGTTTACCAATAATACATTGGACCAAATAGCGTGCGTTGCTTTTTAGCCAGGTATATTAAAACAATGCCTATCTATCGAATAAAGAAAAACATAACATGATAAGGTAAACGAAGCTCAGATGATCCAAAATTTAGTTCAGTGGTGTTTTGGTAAAAAAAACTCGTGGGTGTACGCTTGTTTATGAATTTACGGCAAGAAAATATATTGCGATTCTATTAGAAGCAAAACTGATCAGATTCTATAAATCAAAAAAGACTAGTCGCTTCGCTCACAACTTTTTACGTTCAACAAGGTTCTTATGTTAACAAGCATAAGCATTTTTAATAACTAGATATATTATTAGGCTGGGGGCCATTCGGAAAATCTATGCCAATAAGTAACAGAGTCCTCCACTTGTATATTAAGACATATCCATGTGCCTATGTACTTCCGGGCAGAGGAAGTGATGACCAGTTTTTATTTTTTAAACGTGTCTTCTCTGTTTTATACAATTGTATTTATTAATTTGTCTAAGTATTAATTTAAACTTCTCAGCAAGGTTTAACAAAGTAAAAAATTTATCAATAATTAAAAAGTACTGAATACCTAAAATCATTAATTCTTCATCTAAGCGATGTAGTTGTTGAATAATTTTATCTTCCATTTTTATTTCTTATTCAGTAGCAGTTTCGTCAGAAATAGATAATAACATTGAATAACAGGTCATTATTTCTTCTCATTTTATAATTCCATTTCTAATTTTAGAGCAAACCAATACAAATTAATATAACTCACACGAACAGAACAAATTATATACATTCATTTGATATCCATACACATCTGCAAGCAAGATATATAAATATATATAATCAAACAATCATTTCGTAAAACACCCATTATTTTTTGTAAACATTTTACACATGGATTTATAAATCCACCTTGGTAATAACCATTAACCAGACGTGGTAATAACCAATCTTTATAAATTATCATATGATAACAATGCAGTCCCTACACCCTACATGTACAAGACCTTAATAGATTATCAACTATGAAGTATTAAATCTAGTCACACGTCTGAAAAACAGAGAGTTTGCCACAAAGAAACAAGAAAATATTACGTCATTGTTATAACGATAACGTGTGTTTACTTTATCTATTATTCGAATTCTTATTCCCTTGAAATCCTCATACTAGAAATATGCACACTAGTGGATAACATTAGGAAACTTTATACCGCGTTCTCGTCAAATTAGCGTGGCTAGTCCAAATGTGTAATTTACCAAAGAAAAGTACGCTTTCTGGGAGAATTATATGAAATACATGCATACAGGATATGCAGTGTTAAATTTGGTTTTTGAAAAGGTGGCGAGGAATGTGACGGGCCTCAATAATTTTAATTATTCCGTCTCAACACCCTGCTAGCCTATGGAAATGATATTATGTTATCGGGGGGGAGGATGATGTCGAAGAAAATGTAAAAAAGTTAATATTCAAAATTAAATTTGTAAATTACAATTTAATTATTGTGTTTATTTTTTGGAAATTTGTCTTCTTGTAGCGAACAAAAAGTTCAAGTTGTCGAAATCCAAATCTGATCACTCGATAAATGTGTTATACACAATAAAAATTATCCATTTCTGTATGTTACTCAATTTAGTAATAAACAAAAACAATTTGACAGTTATTCAGCTTTTTTGATTTTAACAAGTCAGTTAGTTTAATCTCTTTATTTATTTATTTTTTAATAGGAATTTAATTGAATGCCTATAAACACCGTAGGCAAAGTATTTGCCCATATAATGCATACATATTTGGGTGTAAAAGTTTATGTTAAATAAGTTCAAGTTTATATAAAATAAATATTTCAAATAGTTGTGCTGTGCAGGTTATTCGTTCCAACTCGTTGTGAGGATTTTCTGTACAAATCAAAACATATCTAACGTTGTCGAACATAACAGAACGGTTTGAAATTTAGATTATATTTATTTCACTTAAAACTAAAATGTCTATCCCTTGACCACTTGAATATAATATCTACCTATTGGACAACTATGTGCCGTTAAATATTTTTAATTACAAGTCGGCAAAAGTTCAGTCGATCTTGCTCGGTGGTAGTGTACGACAAAAATTCGGTTACGGCCATGCACTTTGTTGTATACACCAATCAGCAAGCGTTACCGCTCTGTCGAACGTACGGTACACGCAACGTCTACGTACGGTAACATTAAGTCTTATAGAAACAAAGAAACATCAGGTTGTAACATGATAATAATAGAATAGGGTTATATATTTCCAGTAAAAATTTACAATTATAATAACTCATCATCATCATCATAATCAACATCACGTACACATATTATGTAAAAATTTATACTTAAAAAAAAAAAAAATTACTGTGTAGCGCGCTCGAGTGTGTGTATGCGTGTGTTTGGGAAATTCACATGTTTTAAAAACTCAATATATTTTTTTTTTATTATTATTATTAATAACTTTATATTTAAAAAAAAAAAAAAATAATAATAAAAACACATCATCGCTATTATAATAGTATAATAATTATTATTATATTATCTCGAAGGCGTCGGCTGTACAAAATTCATTACGTACTTAATTTAATAATAATTATAATAATGAGGGGTGGTAAGGGGGAGGGGGAAAGAGCAAAAAAAAAATTGTAACAAATCGGGGTCGATGGTGTGGCAGCAATGCGTACAAGGGGGTAAGGAAAACAAGGTCATCCGTTGTTGGAAAAAAATAATGTAAATAAAACATACAATTTTCATCGATAAAAAATGTAATATTTTACATCAACATAGCAGTTGTAGCAGTAGTAGTAGTAGCAATAGTAGTAGTAGTAGTAGTAGTAGTAGTAGTATAATAATTGTAGTAGTAATGTAATCATAGTAACAACTTTTTTTATACAAATGTAAAAATTTTTTTTCATTTAATTAAAAAAAAAAAATTGTTTAGCTGAATCGCGTCCGCGGTTATTTTTTACCTTTTTTTTTTAAAATTATATTATATATATTCTTTTTCGCTATAACAAAATAATATCAAATCAAATTATCGCCGCCGCCTCGGCCGCGGGCGGTGGCCTGTCGTATTTCTATATATATATATATGTAAATATATATATATTATACATACAGATATAGTAATTATATATACATATTTATATATATAAATATTATATTTTAAAATCGAAATTTAATAATAATAATATCGCCGCTCCGTAACAATTAAATTATTAATTATTATTGTTTGTTTTTTTTTTATACATCAAAATAATATTAAATATACCGCTGCGTTCGTTTTTTTTTTTGTTGTTGTTGTTGTTGTAGTGGTGGTGGTGTGTAAATTTTAAAAATCGTCCTCGACGGCTATGATGTTGTCGTCGATGGTCGATGTTGTCCGCGCTGGGCCGCCGTTTTCCGGTTACAACTTCAGGTCGTTGGCGATTTTCGACGCGATGTTCTTGAAACCGATGGACGTGCCAGAGATGCGCTTGAACCGGACGCCGTTCAGGGACAACCGCGGTAACTTGCACACCTCGATCTCCCATTGGACGAGCGACGACGAAGGGTCGCCATCGCCGCCGGCACCGCCACCGCCGCCGCCGCCGCCGGGATCGCCGTGCACGCACAGCAAAAGGAACCTGTCGCGCTGTTCGTAGTCGCAGTTGTTGGCGTCGAGCACCTAAGACGTTTTTTAAAGGAAAACAATAATTAATGGTATTAAAATCGTATCACAATTATAACATTACTGCACGGTTGTTTACCTCGCGGATTTCGGCCATTATTTCGGACGGGCACCTGGCCGACGTCGTCTTCATGCTCCAAGTAAACCGCAACGACCGCGGTTGCTTGTTGTCGTCACCGCCGCCGCCGCTATGGTTGTGATGGTGATGATGGTGATGGTGATGGTTGTCGACGGCGTTGTTGTTACTGCAAAACGTACCACCGTATAAGTCAAGTTCAGGGCACAAGGGGTGGGGCTTTTTTGGTGTGGGGTGTGATGAACTTGGGTCAAACTCAAAACAAGGACAAGTATTTACTACTTAAAAAGCGACCGTCGGTTTTACCTCGTACTAAAAGACCATACAAAACCGTCCCCCTCCCCCATCGCATTTTTTTTCACAATTTTTAATGCGTTTTTGATTTTGATAGAAATTCTCCTTCGCCACTACTCTGTAATTTCTGTAACACCTAACCTAACCTTATCTTAACCTCAACGTAGGGGACGTTGGCCACTGCCTTTGCGACTCTACTTCCGTGGATTTCCTCTATCACTCGACAACTTCCCCCTCCCCCCTCCTTTCTTCTAACAGACCTACTATTCAATTTATCACGCACTATGGTAGTCACTCATATCTATATATATACACATATACCTTATTTTATCTTTTAACACACAAAGTAAGCTAGTTTTTTTAATGGATTATGATATTACAAAACAAAAACAACGACTACTTTAAAAGCACAGGCATATTCAGCACTACAAATCAATACACAGTAAGTAACAAAATATTTCTTTTTTTTAAACAACACTAAAACAACTATGCTCTAAAAAATAAAACAAAGTCGAAGGAGGTCTGGCCTTGAACGCCTATCGCAGCAGTAAAAGTATCACCGATACTATTCCGTAGTTAAGAGGCCGTCGCACCGGTGATTTTCAGTGGTAAAAACATGTTTACGCCAACTGAAAATAACTCGCTTAATTTTGGTTTTAGAGCAAAAGCACTTATTATAAAATTAAAAGAGAAGAATATTTCGGATGGCAAGACGGTGCGTTTTTTAAAAAAAATTCATTTTTTGAAAAGTTACAGGCATTTAAAAATGTTAAAATAGTCGTTATTTCTAAACTATGTATTGAGCGTTATACTTGGAATAATGACAAAAACGCACCGTCTTGCTCTCCGGAATATTGTTCTCTTTTAATTTTATAATGGGTGCTTTTACTCTAAAAGCAAAATTAAGAGTGTTATTTTCAGTCTGCTTAAACATGTAAAGATGAAAAAACATTTTTAAATCGCTTTCAAGGAAGCTGTGAGATAGTCCAAAAACAAAATTAACTACAAAATAGAGTCCTATTTATTGAACTAATAATTACAAATACCACAGTTTAACCTTTAAATTAAGATTTTGTAAAAAATTGCATGTACTTTACTCCTTAAAAATGGGCGATGTGACGCCTTCTTAACAAAGAGTTTAAGAAGCAATAAAAAAAAATTAAAAATTGAAGATAGCTTTAGATTTTAGGTATAAGTCATGAAACAAAAAGCATTTCTATAGCATCGAAATTTCAATAAATTCGCTTTGTATTCAGACTTGGACATTGTTCAATTATTTTTTTATCTGACTTCGTTGTCTTTTGTTTGTAGAAATGTGATGTTCGGATACGGGTTGATCTCAGTATTCCATTGTATAAAATATAAAAATGAATTAAATAAATAAAATAGTCATTAAATATAGAAAAACTATGAACATTAAGGAAAATATATAGTTTTGTTTGAAAAATGTATCGAAATAAATTTTAAATTATCCTGAGTTATTATTTATAAATAATAAACATTAAAATTACACCGTATAAAACAATTTTTAGAACAATAGCCAAAGTACGATAGATTTATTTTTTGTTTGCTAAATCCGAACGGGGTCAATAAGTTTTCTCTAAAATTAAAAACTCGAAAAATCAAAATTTTCCAGAATTTTTTGTGTTGAAAAAAAATATAGCATAGCAAAAATAAAAGAATAAAAAAGTCTACTTGAAATAAATTTTACCACAAAACTTTTTTTTTTTACAACTTTAAAGGCGATCTTAAAAATGGCCAAACTTTTGTTAAACGATATTATTTGATTTATATTTTATTAAAAAAATTATTCCAATTATGTTTTAGACTAGGCGGTTGATAACAAATATGCCTTGCTCTCTCGACTTACACGGGAAAGGGTGAAAAAGACATAGTAACAATATGTTTCAGTCGTCAAATAGAAGAATGAATTGTGGGGGTGGGGGCAAACAGCATAGACAAAGGCGGAACAGGACTTGGCGAAACATTTTTTTTAAGAGGAGGGGGGTTCCAGAACGTTTTTTCAAATTCTCAAAGGGTTGAGTTGGCCTGGTCGTGGGGTGGTAAAGGTGGAGGGGAGGTGGTACACGTACCTACTACTACTAGAGCTAGTGTTACTGCCACCGCCGCCTGTGGACGTGGTGGAGGTCGTGACGCCGCTTTGTGGTTTGTCCATCGTCGTCGGCCTGTGCGTACGCGTGCGCAAAAAAAACAAAACAAAAATAATAAACAAATAACAAAAAACAAAAAATTAGTAATAAATAATAATAATAATAATAAAAAAAAAGATAAAATAATAAATAATAATAAACAATGCCTAAACGCGCTCGCACTCGATTTGAATAGAGAGACGGCGGTGGCTGTGGAGGAAGTGGTAGGGGAGGGGGTAAATATTTTTGTTTTAAAAATCACAAAACACGGTTGGTTTAAAATTTTATCAAATACAAACGTATTTATTCGTTTAAAATGTATATCACGCATGTTATATATAAATATATATATATATATGTATATACATGCACATCAATCATATCACGCCAATGCGTTTTACATAATAGGTAATAATAATATATTATAATTATTGTTAAGAGATAAGTAGATATTTTTCCCGCTCGAGTCGGTCGTCAAAAAAACAAAAAAAATGTATAATTTTTTTTTTTTAACTTTTCTTTTACATCGCATCGTCGTCATTAAATAAAAAAAGGTTTTAAAAATTTGTTTTTTTCTAATATTTATATAATATATTATCATAGTGCCGGCGATATCCCTTCGGTGGTCGATAGTCATCATGGTCGTGCGGTCGCCTCCACGTTGCCTGGTTTTTCGATATTTTGTGGTTATGGAGGTGGTCGTGTGGAGGTGGTGGTGGTGGCGGGTAGCTTTCACGAAGGGTTGGCGGCGGCCGCGGCGGTCGTCCTCCTGCGCACACATACACACACACGCACGCACAATATTATTATTAGAAAAAGAAAAAAATATTTTTTATTTATTTATTTTTTTTGGTTTGTCGTTTATTTACTCTTCTCGTATACAACACCTACTATAATATTTTAATAATACAGTAGGGCAGGTGTATACGGGACGAGTAAAGAAATCGAAATTTAAAATAAAAAAATTATTAAATGTAAAATAAAAAAAAAATGGCATATGTGCGATGGTAACGCGCCGCGTGAAAGCAATCCGCCACATGACGTCGATAAAAAAAAAGAAAAAAAAGGCCGGTGGTGTTTTTGACGAACAGTATTAGTATTACAATGTATATTATACTGTTAATAGGTGATACCGTGGGGGAGGGGGAGGTTCTTTTTTTTTTTTACTTTTTGACGACCACGACGATGACGACGCAAATATATATACATGTATGCACATATATATATATATGTATATAAATACATAATATCAAGTATTCAAAATAAATTGTATAATACATTGCAAACGGGGGCTAAGCTTTCACGCGGGCGCCCGCCGCCGGTAAGGGGTTCGGCCGCTGGTAATCGTAGCAGGACTAGGAGAACAAAAGCCAAGTCTAACCTGAGACTGTACAACAAGCACAAGTACACGGGCATGCATATTCTACACACGGGCGGGAGAGAAGCCGGGTAAAAATGCCACCGCCTCGAAGCTGATACCGTCGTACGACAACAGTAACACAAATAGCTAACCTAAACTAATATTAGGTTGAGTTTAACAAGAAAAAGAGAAAAAAAAAGGTAAAATTCCATTAGTTTGGCTAGTCTGTTAAACGGAGCCCAAACTCTTTTTAACCTAACACGTCTTATCTTAAACCCTGGGAATTTGTTTTAAATAAATATCGAACAACTAAACGACTCGTTTATTCGTATTATATTTCCTGAAGTTTATCACCCCAGGGTGATGGTGGAGGTGGAGCCATTGTTTGGTCGCTGTCGAGGGCGAATCAGCGTTGTGGAAATAATTATTCTACAACTTATTCGAATAGCAACTGTTGTAATAGAAACTATTCGAACAATTTTTTACTTGAATAATGGTAACGTCAATTAATGTGTTATCTAGAGATGATGGTTAAATTTAGATAGCGTTTTGTTCGAATGACGATTGATGGTACACAACTCTGGGGCGAATAACCAGGTTGCTGCAATTTGTTTTTTTTTTTTTCATTTTCATTTTATAGGCGGTAGCAGCTACACGGGCGGTTTTTTTTTTTTTTTTTGGTAGCTTTGCACTAGGGTTTATTACTGCGTTTACGGGCAGGTTTTATGCAACTTACCGTTTGACGAATTTCGACGATATTTTTGAGAAAAACGACGAGGGCGTATTGCTGGTGGTCCGCGGCTGCGACTGTGGCGATTCGTCGGCACCTCCCCCGCCGCTGCTGTAGCCCCTGTGCCGGGTCTGGCCCGAGTGGAACGTCTGTCGACTGGGCACGTTTCGCGGGAACGGCTGTTGCCTGGCGTTGCCGCTGTTCACCGTGGTCGGCGGCGTAACGCCCCTATTGAGTGAAACAAAATAGAAATTAACACATTGAAACGATTTGTGGGTACACGGCATACAACAGCGTTACACAAGTTTCTTTTTACAGTGATGTTGCTATGAAATAATTATGTAAGCTAAAAAAAAAAAGTTTCAAAACAAGTTTAAAACCGTCGCTCACACACGATGCAACACCGCGTCGTATTACGTTTTTTCTCAACTTTACACGAGTGCAAAAATAAAAAAAAACAGTTCAACAACATTATAACCATGTTATCACCTGGCCTGGTAACTTCCAACACGGAAAAGCGTGGCCCTATTGTTGCATATTAAGCGACAAATATTGTTACAAAGGGTCAACTGATGACTTTTTAAAATTAATTAGCAGCAGCTTATGTATCAAATGTACCTAAGCAGAATGATGCAATATAAATGATGACCGACTGGTCGATACTCAGTTTTCGATACATACTTGCACAGATGACGTGTACACAGACCCACACGTATCACTCACCAGCACTTCCGTTGTGCAAATAGCTCAAAAAGTATTTATCCAAAAACCGGTATCGACCAGTCATTATTTTCATTACATCATTTTGTTATTAGTAGACAAAAATGTATGCTGAAATTTGCCTATAGCAATTACCTTAAAACTACCTAATAAGATGATAATTATTAAATAACTATAATTATTTACTAATTATAATTGTTTAATATAATTTTTTATCATCAAATACACAATAAGGATTTTATTTAATACGTTTTTTAGCTTACATAACTATTACATTGAAAAAATCACGGTAACATGAAATTTGGATAACCCATTATAATACTTTCAATAAAACAAAAATTCTACACAGACACGTCGTTGAACTTAACTACTATAGACGTAATCCCTATTTAATAATCAAACCCAGGCATTATTTAAAAAATTTGTTTAAAAAAAAATGTAATTAAATAAAAGCTCACATGATTTACTACTAAACGTTGAAAGGGGAACATACTACTTTTACAAGTGAAGAAAAAAATTGTCTAGTTTTAGTCCTCTTTAACCATTTAACGACAAACTTTTTACTTTCGACAGAAATCACAAAACCATTTAAAAAAGTATCTTATTTAAAAATATATATATATATATATATATCATCTTTTAAAATTTAACGATTCAAATGATAAATATAGTTTTATTTTTATTCGGAAGTATTATAACAAATACAAAACTGTTTATTCAATTTTGATTTTTTTACTCAGAATCGATTTTGATATAAATAAAATTTAAAATAATAAAAAGTTTAATCATTTTTCAAAGTTATAGTTCAAATAATGAACTATTTATTATTTATAGTAGCGTTAAATTTTCAAAATGTTTGTGTATATTTATAAATTGTAAAATACAATATAATGTAGTATTTTCAAAAAAATTATTTAATTTACAAATTATTTGTTTGTATTTCCCGATAATAAATTGTTTTGAATGTTTTATTAATTTCTTAATAGTAAAATTAATATAAAATAACATATAAGTTACAAGTTATTTGTTATTTAACTACAAGTTCCCTAGATTTGTTACCTCGGTAGTACTAAAGCGACAATTACTAAGTGATGTTCGTGCCAATGGGTTGCATTAAATCAAATAAATAAATAAACATTTTATATACTTGACCTAGCATTTAAATACGAGCCACTACTTAGTAATTGTAAGTGTCAATTACCATTACTAGCTACTACTTAGTATTTATACTACAGCTACTACTACTAAAATAACTACTATATAATAAAACATTTTAATTTCAAAATTTCACTATGTAAGCAATTTTAATATTTCATTCAACCTGAGCATTGTTTAATACATTTTTATTGTAATCAAAATTCAAATAATTGTTTAAACTAAAAAAACTATTTAAATTAAATCTTAATATAAAAAAAAAAATGTTTTTACATTATTTTAGTTATTAATTCACACAATTTTTTCATTGAATAAAAGTGTAAAAAATTATAGAAAATAATAAATAAAATAAAACTGTATTTTACCTAATAAAATATAATGTGGAATTTTAAGTAATAAATCATTTTGAATAATGTTTTTATTTTTATACAGTTATTAGAAATTTATTTTAATTAAGAAATGACTTGAAGCACTAAGACATGTACTTTAAATAGTTAATTTATCGAAAACTGGTATTCGTTGTTTTTCAAATAAAAATTGTACAGGTCTGATTTAATGTGTGATTTGATTGTCTCTAACTCACAAGTCTTAATGAGAAACACGACAAACAAATAATAAAGCAATATTGTTTATAACAATAGAAAAAAAAAAGAAATATTTTGTAAGTTGCATTTATTTGTCTAAATTTGCAATCTTGATTGGCCATTCACTACAAAACACAAACTACCAACACTTTCAAATTTCTAAATACAGCAGTGTCAATTAAAACAAAACCGACTACGTTAACCAATATTAACAACAACAACTACAACAGGCAACAAATAGAGTACACAGTGTTGGTGTATACCTCCTAACAGCAGAGGCGGGATCATCCGCCTGAATCGTAACTATAACGCCGCCTCCACTGGCCGATTTGCCGTGGTGGTGGTGGCCGCTGGCGGTGGACATATCACCGCCACCTCCACCGTTGCTGCTAAACCAAGAGTGATAAAAAAATCGAATATCAGATCCACCACCGTTACAATTTTGAAATGATTATAATATAATAAAGTGTGATAAAAAAAACAACAGTGAAACCCCAAATTACAGTACCTCGTAGGAATGGCAGAAACCGCTCCTCCGGATGTAACTCCTCCTACATCGTAGCTAATGGTGCTGCGTCTACCCACTGTTGCCGCTGCAGCTACAGCCGACGGCCTTTGCTTGCCTAAAAAATAAAATAATTTAATATTTTGTTAAGTCAGTCAAATAGAGGGGAAATAAATTTGTTTTGATCATCGAACAGGAAGGAAAAGTATTCACTACAGATTGCCAAGTATTATTCAATTATTTGGTTGTATGTAAAATATTTACCTATGGTATCTGTGACTGCCGTTGGTACGGCTGACGGTAGTCTATTTTGCTGCTGTTGCTGCTGCAGCCGGTGGTGGTTTTCCTTGATAGTGGCGGCGTCGATCGTGTTCTGCCTCTTAAACGCGCTCGTGCCCGTATTATGATTGCTGGCGCCGGTCGTTGCTGTGTTGGTGCCTAAGAATTCTGTAAAAAAAAAAAAATTAAAGTTATATAACAATCAGAAAAGCTTTATCAATATTTTATAATTAAAAATATGACAAAATAGTCTTTAATTGGGTTGCATTAACTGTCTTTATTATGGTATGTTTTGAGTAAATGGTGTTTACTTGTTTTGCTGCTGGTGCCGCCATTGTTGGTGGTAGCGGTCTGATGGCTCTCGGACACTGAAGCCGCTGTCGCAGCCGACGATGCTCTCCGGGCAGTGGCCGGTTTGGCGGCAGAAGCTGATCTATGTACGGCTCCACCGCCGCCTGCGCGGTGGCCTGGTGAAGTACCGACACTTCCGGTATTGTTCAACGACGAACAGCTGCTTCCCACGGCTGGTCCAGTGTCACCATTATCGGGCTAAACACAAACCGACATTCAAATTATATGTATGCATAAAAAACACACGTCAATATATTAGAATTGGTTTTATTTAAATAACGCAACCAAGTTTACTTAGAATAATAAAAATATCTTACGTCGGAGTTATTGCAACGCGATAACAACAAATAGGTGGCGAATATGTCGTCGTATTTGGCCTGTGCTATACTGTCCTCGATGTCGGGCCGACTGTAGCCCATCGCCACCAAGTTTTCTATGATACGGCACACTGAGTAGCCAAAAAAAATAAAACAATACTTCAATTAATTTGCTGTAATTTAGTAAAAATATCATCAATACGATATATCTTTGATGATGATTTGACTAATGTGGTTGACTTATACCAGGGAAGTTGCAAGAAAATTAGGTCAAAAACTGATTAGTTTAACGGTATAGAGTTCATCAATTTTTTATTATTTAAAATTTTAATTCAATGAACTGGCACTGGTTGTTAATCGAATGAAAACGTTCATGCAACCCGGCATAAGTCTTGAATGCACCTCATTCCAAGATCTAAGATAAAAATATCAAAGATGTTGTTGGTGCATCTGACAGTCGTTACCCTGACAAAAATACATACTTCCAGCACGTTTAGTTGGATCGCCACTAACAGCGGGCTCTATGTACGGCTTGAGTTCACCCTCACCGCCTTCGCCGTCGTATCCTAGGTTCATCCACTTGTCCTTCATGATTACCTGTGTATAACAAATTCGATTAGGTTATAATCATTACGACAACCGACAGACTGTGGTCAAGCCTGATCTACACGATTTGGTAATGTCCGTTCTTGGTCACACAGTTAGCATATTGTTAGGTCCAACAAAATCAACATATATTTTGATTTGCTTTCTTTTAAATTAAGTTAGAATTTTTTTATTAAACTTTAATATTTATTTGCTGATTTCCCTTGACAGTTTGCAACTTACTCTCAATTGACGTGTTCAAAAGTTAAGGACAAACAAATAAAAGAACCAATATTTTGTAAGTTACACTTGTCAAGCAGAAAAACCTTTCCTGAATTGTGTTTAATTATTCTATAATTTGCTAGTACATTTTTTTCTAATCCTAACTACCCTCTAAATCGGTGTTATTATAATTTTAAAATATTAAATTAGCCTAGCAAAATTTCCCTATAACCTATAGTCCTATCATTATGTGCCAGTGCTAACTTGACCCAAAATACTACATGTTTCAACGATCAAAAGTGTTTTTCGTGTAGGCCAGGCTGTTGCTTCGATCGACTGGTGTACTCACTTCGAGGGAAGCGCGCTTCAGAGGGTTGAGCACGAGGAACTTTTTAAGCAGGTTCTCGCAGTCGGTGGACATGTAGAAAGGTATGCGATACTTGCCACGGAGCACACGCTCCCGGAGCTCTCGCAACGTGGACCCGTCGAACGGCAAAGATCCGCTGACCAGCGTGTACAGGATAACGCCCAGAGACCAAACGTCCACTTCGGGTCCGTCGTACCGTTTGCCTATAGAAATCAAAAAATAAATGACAAAATTAAAGTCAGCCCATAACCACCACCAGGCGTTACGATCAAGTATTATAGTTAGTTTGAATACAATAACACAGCGATGCAACTAGCATTTTTGACAACACTACGTGTAGCTTAAATTCATGTATGATCACACGTAGCGTCTTAAGTTGAACATAAATTCTGTTTAAGCGTTTATTTTGTTTTTTTTTTCTGAACTAATTATTTTTAAGAAAACTAAGAATTTTAGTAGTAAAATATAATTTTCAAATTAACTCTAGTGCTTTTCATCTGGGCTACTAATGAAAATGTTCACGGTTTTACCTTGAAACAGCTCCGGGGCCGCGTAGGGGGGGCTGCCGCAAAACGTGTACAGTTTGCCGCCGGGGGTGAACTCATTGCTGAACCCGAAATCAGCTATCTTGATGTTCATCTCAGCGTCCAACAGCAAATTCTCGGCCTTAAGGTCCCGATGAATGATACGTTTCTGATGACAGTACTGGACGGCCGATACGATCTGCAATTGACAGTTAAGTTAGCACGTCATATAAAGTTCCTCAAAAAAAAAAAAAAAATGATAAGGTCAACAACAATAACAACTATCTCAGAGTCTCAAGGTGCATTTGACGATTAAAAAAAATGTTGTACTTAAAATTGGTACACAAAAAAAAACATTATTTAAATTAAAATATAAAAGTGGGTAGACGTTGTCACATTGTCTTGGAAGCTATGCCACTAACTTTTGTAGACCACTAACTTTTGTAGACCGTTCTCATTTTAAGATGTATAAAAAATCGAATTCAAAATTAGTTTAAACCCATTTAAAATGCAAAATCGTATGTTACCCCTGATATCATTTAGTAACACATTAATATAGCGATGAGAATAAAAAGAGTATGAGTAATTATTACAACATATTACAGCAGAGCAAATTAAAAATTATACATTTAATGAGAAGATTTCAATTAGATTTATTCAATATATTTTTGGAAAATGTATTAACTGTTAAGACAAACGCAGATACTTGTTTTAAAAAAAAAATTATAGTCACTTGTAGAAAAATGGTCGCTTATACATTTGATTCTCTTTACTTTATTAGTGTTAAAAAAATCTATAATTTTTCTCATTAATGTGAATTGATTAAGAAGTTAAAAACTACATTTTACTGAACCCAAATTAAAACAAATTGTTTTGCATATGTTAGCATATTTTATTTATAAGTACCAATGAAATTAGTGTCTCGACGTAAAACACTTGAAAAGTAAAAATAAAATATATTTAAAAACGTTTAAGTGATTATTTGAGTAGTTTTAAGAGCATTATTATTAAACTTCCGGGTCCTATAGTAAAGATATTATCGTGTCCTTGACACACGTTGATCCTACGATCTAGCCCCACCTAACCTCTGTTTTGGTTGTACTTTTAAATTTAATATCTTTAAGTGAAAAATTATGAAAGTCGGTTTTTGGCACATTTCCTGAACGTTGTTATTGTGTGTGGTCTGTTGTGGCAAGTACGGACCTGCCGGAACTTGGCCCGTGCTTCTTTTTCGCGCATGCGCCCGTGCAACACCAGGTAATCGAAAACTTCACCACCGCTGGCGTACTCCATCACCAGATACAGGGTCTTCTCGGTCTCGATCACCTGCAACAGCTTGACGATGTTGGGATGATCGAGCATCTTCATGATGCGGACTTCGCGGAACAGCTGTGGGGAAAAGAAAAAACAATATCAAGTAAGCAACTAGGTATAGGTTAGGCTCAACTAGGTCACTTAACAACAAATCATTACCAAATTAGAGAGCGGATTTTTCGTGTGTTTACATATTATAACACAGTCACCGACAGTTATGCACACACAGCTCGACGGGGATAAAAAAAATGATATAACATATAAAAAAACGATACTCAAAATGTCACACGACTGGTTTGCAACGGTAATAATGGCGTTTCACTCTTTTCCTCTAGTCGTGACCACATACCATATACCATAACCATGTTTTAGACTAAATCTGTTATCAATTACTATAAGCACAAAATATGATAAAACGTATATATATAATATATTTATAAGTCTCACGAGGGGGGGTAAAAAATGTATTATTGATCAGAGAATTTGTGGAATAAAATATATTTTTTAAATTTGAACATATTTTGACGATTAATAATTATTTTTAAGTTTGAACGTTTTTTTAACCATATTTCTTTTGGGTGTTAATGGAAAATTAAGTGAATATCATAAGATTTAATCAGTATGATATTTTTAACTTTTTAAAACCTATAAATCCGCTCTCTAGACATATTTTTATTGTTTAGAACAACAAACTAGGCGTCGTACCTTTTGTAGACTGCCCGGCAACAGCTGCGTCTTGTCGATGATCTTGATTGCTACCTAAAAAACAAAAAATAAATAAAATCAAACCCGTTTATTTATTTATTTTTCTCATGAACATGAATAATATTATTATATCTTATGGCTGGGGTCTGTCAAAAACCTAACCTTACCGAATGGTGATAACAAACAGCTGACTGCAGAAACGCTGATAAGAGAGATCAGTGACAATTCGAGGGGAGGTAAAACTGAATAACATAAACCTTCTTGTTTAATATTCTACATTCTTAGGTACCATAAGACGTATGGACGGATCCAACAGTTTACAGAGAAAAATGAGTAGGTTTTTTTTTTGTTTTTAGGCGGGGTGTGGGGTTTGCCAACTCTGGAGATGTGTTCAAGTATCATTTTTCTAACGCACGCCGCGGTAGTATTATTTTTGGACGTTTTCAACCAAATATACACGTTGTATATTCTTTTTTTTTATAAACAGGAAGGGAATTTAAATTTTGGCACTGCGAGTTGAGATATGACAGATGCGCGCGAGAGAGATTAAAAATATGTCTGTTATACCGCGTGCCAAAGAATTTGGACCTCCTACACCGCCGCCTTAATATTGTGCTTTATTACATTTTTTTTTTTACTACTCGTAATCGCTTTTAACTTGTATGAAATTAAACGTAGGTACAAATTACAATTCGAACCCAGCTAATACATTTCTCCGTGACCAATCCAATCTATTCCACTTCACGCTAATATACTATGTTTCTAATAGACCATTATCTTTACTCCGCTTTAACAGTGTTGGTCCTATATCTGTGCACCCATCACCGTTGACTCCTACAATATCGGCAAAAACTTAGTAGGTCAATTTCTACTATCATACAACCCAGTTACTCAACAAAAACATATTATTGCCCCTTCTCCACCCCCTTTCGGTAAAAGTGACACCGCGTGATAAGAATTGTAGTACCATTGGAAATCGACTGATAAGAGATATGCGACAGTGATAAGAGGAAACAAGCCCGATAGAAGAAGCGATATTGATAAGAGATGATAAACCGATAACGAGTGTTGATAGTGATAACAAATTATGATTGGTAAGAAAACTTATGAACATGAAACAAAAGTTTTGAAAACCAAGTTTTTGTATTTTCTAATATAAGTTTGGGTTTGAACGCAATCAGTAACTTTGTAACTCACAAACGGTGTTCCTATCGAGAATTGTAACGAGTTAGGTTAGTTTAGACTACATTTTTTATATTATATGATATTAAACCATGTCAATGAACGGTCCAGATAGACATTGAAAAATCAGATCAACCGACAATGACTAGGCACTTACGCTAGCGTCGAAGATTTCTTATTTAATATCTTAGCGGCGACGTTTCCACCGCCGCTGGTTTGCGCGCGTTACCGAATTATCATTACTTTCGAATTGGACACGCGATTTGGGCGAAAAAATCTGCGACCTAACCGCACCCGACCCGCGCTTTACCACTCGAGCGGCGACGGCGGCGGTCGCTCAAACGTGGCCGCCGCTCGCTTATCACCGCCGCGGCGGCTTTCTCTACCGAACGACTGACTCACCTCTTTGCCGGTCGGCACGTGCTTGGCCAGTTTCACTTTGGCGAAATTGCCCTTGCCGATGGTCTTGAGCAGCTTGTACTTGCCGATGTGCTGCGATTGCGACGACGACGAGTGCTGCGACTGCGACGACGACGAGTGATGGTGTCCACTGCTGCCGCCGCCACCGGGCGAGTCGTCAGCGACTCCGCCGGACCGGCTGCTCCGGGACGAGGCCCGCGTGCTGCCGCCCCGGGTGCCGACAGAAGACGCCGCGGCCGAAGGCACCGCTCCAGCGGCCGTACCGTCGCCAGTCTGTGGAAAGAAAAAAACAAAACAAACATTAGCGATAACACTACAACGGCAATTTATAATTACAATTGGGCGGGGGCTGTTGTGAGGATAGGATTTCATACGAGCTAGCTAGCTACTACTGTTACACGGACGGTAGATAAATAAATAACAATAATAGCAGGCGGGGATGGGAAGCGGGCGGCGGTAGTTTCAGCGGCCGTTACTACACACTTCCTCCCGCTTTGGGTCTGCGGCGTGTAAAAAACGCGGACGTCCGCGTCACGGGTCGGGTGAGTGAAAATCGCCGCCGACACGCACCGCCGGCGGTGCGGCACCGTGTGGCCGCTGCTCCTAATGATGGTTTTTTTTTTAACACAATTTTTTATTTATATAATACATGTTTTTTTTTTCTTTTTTCTTCCGTTTTCACCGCAGATTTTCCGTTCGCGTCACAGCCGCAGCCACCGCCGGTACCGCCACGGGTTTTGGGTACCGTTACGCGGCGACACGGTCCGTCACCGGCCAGAAACCGGAGGGGATGTGTGAGGCGGCGTCGACGGAGGACAACAACGCTTGCTCGCTTAACGCGCGATGAAAGACACTCTCACAAAAAAAAAAAACCAAACAATAATAATATTATTATACATTTTATTCACACGGCTCTCTAACGTGTGTGTGTGTGTGTGTATGTCAAACATTACCCGTAATAACGGCTGCGGTACGCGACGTCTGGACGACGGCGGCACGGGTATGCCGGTGACGGCCGTCGTGTACTTGCCGCTGGCGAACGCGGCGGCCGTCGTAGTGGTCGACGCCGCCACCGCCGCCGCTTCGTTGTACGCCGGCAACGACATGGGACCGGCGGCTGCAGCGGTCCGGCCGTCATCGTCGTCGTCGACGTCGTCGGTCGCACCCTCGATCCGTTGCCGGCGCATCCAAGCCGCGTAGCTGACCACCGAGGCGCTGCTCATCTTCCGGTAAGGCCGTGCGGCGGCGGCTGCGACCGATCGGGCATAAGCGTGCGGCGGCGGCACAAAGACAAATGTATCGCACGCCCGACACCAAAACGGGTGTAGTTGGACGTGCACCTGCCACTGGTGTGTACTCGTTAAACGCGCACCGAGACGATATTTTCTATTGAAATAACACCACCGACCGCCGACCGATGTTGTACCGTTACTGAACAAGCGACGGCTACGGCAACAGCAGCAGCAGCAACCGGAACAACTGGTAACGGATTGTTGCAGAAACCTCCTACCACCGAACGCGGACTACATAATATTAGTGTATTACATACAACTCCCACCAACGTTAAAGTCTCTCTCTCTTTCGGTGTGGCGCGCGCTCCCCTTCTTTCCAACCCGACCGCCGCCGTGTGTGTCCCAACAACACCCGGCGACGATTAATCGCGCTTTCTCCGGGCGACCACCTCGACAGCCCACTGCCACTCAAAAAAACGCTAAAAAACGGCCGCACGGTGGACGACAAATCGCGCACACACTTGTGTCGCGCGCGGCCGCCGCCGTCAGTCAGTCGACGGACGACGGCGGCGGTGGGCGCTCTCTGTCGGCCACGCGAATAATCGATTGACGACGACGCCCGTGTAACCGCGTACAAGCAGGACGACGGCCGCCCAAGGTCGCGGGAAAATCGATAACCAACAGACAACGTACAAATCGTTCGGCGTTGGCCACCACCTCGTAGGCGTCGCGCGGACATTTTCGTATTCCGTCGACGACAATTTTATTATTAAAAATAATATTATTATTATTATTATTATCAGGTGGTGCATACACAAGCGGCGGGTCCACAAACGGTGGTGTCCACCCCCGTCGCCGCTTACGCAATCCCCAAGTACAAAACAAATTCGTGAGAAAAGATGCGGCGGCCACGACACATATGCCGCCGCCGTACGCGACGTCGCGTACATACAAACAGCTGTTGGGCTAATGTATAGCAATAACCTTGGTTGACCCCCGTACGACGCGACGGCCGCCGCTTCGGTAAACCAATACTGAACCCAGTGTGTGTAGTACAACACGCACGCCGGACGAAAATAATATGTTTGCGCTACGTCCAAAAATAAAAAAATAAAACGCCAGCACCGTCCGACGCCGCCTCCTATTCATAATACCTCCGACGAATGACGATTTCGAAGGGGAAAATAAAACTCACCCCCACCATCCCCTGGTAATGATTATCGTACGGCGGTGATTTTACTCACGGCCGTTCCATTAGGCGTGCCAGCGAGATTTCTTCACATTATAATATTATATGTCGTCGCCGGCGGCGATTATCCATTTTTATAATGGTAATAACCGTATTTTATAATAAATAAATAAACAAACGAAACGGCCGCGGTGTTAACGCGACCCAAGTACACATACACGCACGTCATTATAATAATAAATAATATGCAAATGGCCAATAATATCGACACGTACAATAAAGAATGTACATGCGACGCCGCCGCGTAGGCCTAGGGCGTATCTATATGTACATACTATCATATATATATATATATATATATATATATATATATATGTTAAGTGCATAAGTGCGTTATGTACATATTTTACACACACATATACATCATACATACATACAACATGGATTTCATTCAAAGTATATTTATATTTGCATTGGAAAAACAGAGACTTGCAATAAATTTATACTTGCATAGCACACGTACGGTGGACACACCGTTGTATAATCGTAATTATCATAGCTAAACGGCACGGGAAAAAAAACGCCCGTTTCGATTATAATATTATTATTATACCTCTTTCTCTTCTAACCGGTCGACCGGACGACGTCAAAAACAAATAGTGTGTTGTATTAAAAAAAAATCCACGTGAGAACCTCTCACACGACGGTAATAAATATGTTCCTAATCTTTATTTAATTTAATTTTTTTTTATTGTTGATGTTGTCGGACATTTTGGTCCGGACGAAGGAAGGGGGAGGCAGGGATAACAATGCGCGGTGTATATCTCACAGCGTTGCATAAAATACGAAAATTAATTATACATATATACGTATATATTGTGTACTTTATAATAATATTATCTAAACAAAAATAATCGTTTTGACGAAAACAAAAAAAAATAAAGGCTTCGATTGGTTTATCATTCGGCCTGCAAACCACGACGACGACGACAACAACACCGCACATACACAAGGTCCAAAACATAAATATATATATTATATAATGATGATATTCTCATATTATATATTATTATATAAAAAAAGTCCTTGGGGGCCATACGAAACACGTTGGTGATGACGACAACACACAACAACAACAACACTACGACGACGTTTCTCGTCTATGAAACCAGCTCGGTACAATAAACAAGACAAAATTATTGGCAAATAAAATACTGCGCTGTACCAGTCGTTGTTGTGTACCTACTGTAATACAATAAGAGTTAGAATGATAATAGAGTTAGGATGATAATATGACGAGGCAAGAGGTAGTAATTACACATACTTATTACAAACGGCTGAAAATAATACAATTACATAAACGACTTGAACGAATTTACAAAAATATTTGTATAAGTACCAAAAAAAACAACAAACTTTGACTAAACTTTTTAAAACGACGTCAGACACATAATATTATGATATTGACAACGTTTAGGCGCGATTATTTATACCATTTTTGGGTTAAGCTAATAATTATATATATAGGACTTCAAACGACACACGAATCGTAAATAAACAACTATATTTTATATAATATTATTTAAACCAAAATTACTAAGATTCCTCCTCCTAAATCATACCACGCCTAACCTGACTTAATTAATTGTAAAAAGTTCACCGATAGTTACCACTCTTAATATCGTGACACGTTATGATGCGTTTGAAATTTTTAACATTTTTATTTTAAGTTTAATATTCGAAAACAAAATTACAAAAACCGTTCGATAAAAAAAATATTAGCCAATTCGACAAACTTCAGCGCTGTTGTAGTAACAAATCAAATATAAAAACAAAAATGCATAACCTCAAAAACTGAAAAGGCCAGATATATATAATTATATACATAAAAGATGTAAGTAAATGTACTTCCGGAGAAACTTTCTTTGAATTTGCATACAAGTAACCAGGTTAAAGTAACAAAGTTACCCGTCGACTTTCGGGACTGCAACAGAATTAGTCAGATTGGAAAAGTTTATCGAAAACCAACTTCGGACAAGTTGCTAGAACACTCAACTCCTCTGTGATGACTTGAAAACTACCAAATACATACATAATATTACCTATGTAAACTACACTATACACCTATAGTAGTGGTTAAAGTGGTAATTTCATTTTCAACCGATCGACAACAGTCATTTTTATAGAGCCGTTAAACGCAGCGCTATTGTTTTTATGATAATAATTATTAACATCTGATATAATATTTTTTGCCTTTTTTTTATATGTTTTACCGTCACTCGTGCGTTGTTCACCATCATGTTTAGGCCTCAGCACACATGTGGTGAATTTTATGGAAATCTGGTAATTAAACTGTTCGACGACGGTCGGCCGGCCAATCTAAACGCGTGAATTTTCAAGGTTTTTTTTCCAAATGTGAAAACATTTGTCGATAAGCGAAAAAAAAAAAAGAATATAAAACGCTATTTTATAACAATTTCCCGGCCGATATTTATTTAATTGTACGTTTTTCCCCTTCAAATCAAATGTTTACTTTTCTATAGACAAACTGTGTGTAGGTGGTAATAATAAAATTACCGGATGAACACACAAGTACAGGTAATATTGTTGTTATATTCATGTACTCAAAACTGAGACGACGGAAGACGTCAACGCGAATTTCGGTTTTAGTAGCTCATATAAACAAAAAAAAAATATATAAATACATTTTTTTGCACAAACGACGTTTAGCATATTATTCCAAAAACCAAAGATGTACTTGTTTGGGTTAACTATAAATCATCACTGAATAAACACTAAGCTAACATTGTTCGATACTAAATTCTAATTGCATATAACAAGCCGAACTGTTT